GGGAATTAAACCTAGACCCCCAATTACAAAAAAAAAAAAAAGGAAATATAATTGTCGAGCAGGCAATTTTTAATGGATGTGTGCACTGTGTAGTTTTACACTTGTTTCCTCTTTTTTTACTACACTAAACTCATAGTTTATTTTCTTTTTCTTTTTTTATGTACTTATTTATTTATTTATTTTTAGAACCATTGTTTTCATTGTAAGAAATAAATAATTTTAATGTAAGCCATTAGTTTTTGGCATTTTATAAAAAAAATAAAATAAAAAAAAAGAAAGAAAGAAAAGCAATTGGTTTTACATTATATTTGTAATATATTTAAAGAAAAATAAGGATGTTCAAGACTATAAAAACGAAACTCAGAAACGTAGCAAGGAGATCGGTAAAATAATCCATGTGACACCAGAGTATCCACTGAACGCAAACAAATTTTCGTTTCAAATCAAAGCACAAACAACATAGAAAACGTATCCGCATGGTGCATCTGACATAGAACAACATACACTGTTTGCGTTCACTGGATACTCCTAAATAGAAATGGCGCTAGGGTGACGCGGAGGAGACGAATTGTTGAATAAAGTCATTTTGGGTTTTTTTGCGCACAAAAAGTATTCTCGTAGCTTGGTAATATTACGGTTGAACCCCTGATGTCACATGGATTATGTTACCGATCTACTTGCTACGTTTCTGGACGTTGATCGTGGTAGTACCCTTGCTGTCTATGGGAGGGTCAGAGAGCTCTCAGAATGCATAAAAAATATCTTAATTTGTGTTCCGAAGATGAACGAAGGTCTTACGGGTTTGGAACGACATGAGGGTGAGTAATTAATGACAGAATTGTCATTTTTGGGTGAACTAACCCTTTAATTAAGTCTAACACTAACAGCTCTCTTTCTGGTCACCACAGGAAGGCCCATTTGATCCTGAGACGAATGGATCGGATCAGTCTGTTCTGCCGCTCACTGCTTCGCAGTGGCTTCATCCAAAGCCGAACAGAGAGTGTGCCGTACATGCTGTGTCGCAGTGATGGCACGAGACCAGGCAGCACTTTATGGCACAGTTCACTTCATGAAACCCGGCTAGCCTGCCTGGAGAAAGTCATAACAGTGCAACGCAACATATATGGAAAGTCCAAATTACGATGAGACAGGAAATGTTTGGACTCGACCTTCTCTCTTTATGGTCTCCAGCTTGGCCGTTCTTTTTCTAAATCCAACTGACTTTGAGACTGTGAGAGTAGGTTTTGTTATTTCTTCTTCTTCTTCTTCTTCTTCTTTCTTTATTATTTTCCAAATGCAGAGAGCCTCGGATAAGAAAGATTGATTTATTATTATTATTATTTTGTTTTTATTTATTTATTTATTACTACTTGTTTCTCTTGTAAGGACATCAGTTTTGGACTATTTATGAATGTAAGAATTTAACTGCATGGTGCTGCAGAACTTCAAACCAGGTTCCCTAATACTCATTTTGCAAACATATCTCTTGGAATACCTAGCCAAGCAAGACGAGGACATGATCTCTCGGTGGTTTTCCTTATTTTCTATTCAGCCCTTTTTGACGTAAATTTTATTAATCTTTTTTTATATATATAGTTTTGCCACAATTAATTGAGAAAACTGTCTGAGAATATTGTCAGGGTCACAGTAAATGCTTTTGAGATCAAGTATAGTCCTGTCACGTATATACTCTTTAGCCAAAAGAACGTTCCTTTACAGTGTCCAAAGAAATGGGAGTATTGCTGGCCAATGAGACCAATAGATTTCATCAAAGTGAACCATCTAATGTATTTGGCAAAGGGTTGTGGTACAAAAGAAAGCTTTGTGCAGAACTATTCTGTAAATGATTGTCTGGGAACAAGGTGTTGTTGAAAATGCAGTTGGAATTGAACAAATGCTAAGAACTTAGCCTCAACACATTTTCAGTAAGTAAGTTGCTATATTCCATGCTATATTCATTGTGATAGTTAAATATGCTATTGTAAATACAATTGTAAATTCAGTATGTAATAAGTGAATATGATTGTTTGTTTTTTTTTTTGTCTGTGGGGGCGGGGTCAATTAAATATGTATATCGAATATCAAGACGTTTTCTCTGTTTTATCTGACAATATGTGAAGAATCAATTAAATTGAGGAAAATCCAGTTATACTACCTCACTGGCAATCTCTATGACATGGATTTCTATAGCACACAATTGTGTTCACACACCTGTTGCAAAACTGTAAGATGCTCAGCATTTAAAAAAGTAAGTTGACATAAGTTAGGGTTCTAGGGCTTAGAGTTATGGTCTGCAACATTGTCTGTTTGCTCCTTGCGCACTGATGACTGAGTGCATTGTTTTGGGATAGTTGTATATGAGTTCCTTGATTGCTCTGAATGGCAAAACTGATTCTCAACACCACTGAGCCACTGTCATTGAGGGAAAAGTCAAATGCACAGGGCATGCAAGACAACCAAATACAGAATTTATCGGAATAACCTCAGCATGAACACAAAACATATACACAACTTAACATGCAAAAATAATGTTCTGTGTTGTTGCACATGATTTTAACATCCATGTGTTGAATCATTTAAAATATCTCAGTGAGACTACTACAATAGTCAAATTTCAACACCAGCAGCATATATAATAATAAACATCTGAGAGTTTGGGTATATTTTGCCTTCTGTAAATGGTGTGCACAACCCCCCAGGATACTGTTTATTTATAAAATCCACTTGTTAGTTCATGTCTCTATGTATTTTGGTCTGTGTACTTAGGGAAAGCAAAAGAGTTGAAGGAATTCTGTAACCAGATGGACGCTACATAGCATTTTGTTTCTCTTAAATTCCTCACACTAAGCTGTTTGACTTCAGTTGAACAAAAGGGACTTAACATGCAAGATATAATGCTAAATATTAGTCCCCCATGTGCATGTAGTGGATATAGTGAATTACTATTCAGTTATGAGCAAGCATGGGGCAGGCATACTGTATGGTTTTAGTTAACACCGCAACCTCTTTCTTTGTTCAAACCTCACAAGTTTGTGGCTAGGAGATACACATCCATCAAAGAGGCCAATGTGAGACTCTTTTAAATCCAGTAACTAGATGCGAGGAGGCATTCGGTTGAAGAATTATTACAGGAATGAGGTAAGCGATGTTGTGATTTTTCAGATTACATGAGCATGTTCCTCCCAAACTTTTGTTGAGAACTCCATTAGTTTACTGGTTGCAGTTAAGTATGCCTAAGTATTATGTCCTGTTCTAAAGCCATTTTGACCATTAACTTCTGTTGCAGCATCAGTGCAAATGTGGATTTAATTTTGCATCCTGCTTTTCTTTTCTTTCTATTGAGTGTTCCACTTTGAACTTATCAAATAATCAGTAATAAATAATGAGCAATCTCATAAACTGAAGACCTTAAAATTTCTCAAGATTACTATATAGATTCAAATACCTACATTTTTAGTAAACATTCATTCTGTTGATCAGCGTTCTTGCTTCAACAGCCATGCAAAGTCTCTGTGTTAAAGGGGTCATATGATGCATTCTTTGGAGTGTTGCAAGCTCTTGGTGCATAAAGAAGATCTGTAAAGTTGCAAAGACTAAAGTCTCAAATCCAAAGAGATATTCTTTATGAAAGTTAAGAGTCAACCACGCCTACCTAAAACCGCTCGTTCTAACACACCCCCACATGTCTACGTCACGATGTGGGAAGATTTGCATAACACCGCCCAAATGTTCACGCAAAGAAAGAAGGCGTAACTTTTAAGCGCTGTAGTATTGTTGTTGCCGCTGTAAGGGAAACAGGTCAATTTAGCTCAAAGGGAATCATTTAAGATTTTAAAGGGAATTTGGACAGAATCACTGTTTTACGGCTGATCACTGAGACGGCCAGCGATTCACTGAACGAGCCGTATAACATCAACTCTGCAATGGATATTAATATCCAAAGTATAATGAAAACACTATTTATTAGCACAGTAACAAGATCGGCAGTTTAAGACATTAACTTGTAAGCACAAAACACAAGATACTTCTCTTTTCAATATGAA